TGGAAAACTCTACAGACTGTCGGTTCACACCCCATCACAAGCCAGCAAAACATCCACGAAACAAAGAAAGGTCTGTCACAGCCAAAAAATACACTCCAGACACGCCGCTGGCATATCGTCATAATATATATATATATATATAAACAGGTGACGAGTTCGAATCCTGAGAGTATCAGACGGATACAATAAGGTTAGAGGCTACGCCCTTATAAAAAAAAGGGAGAAAACAAATGCAGTAAGTACTTGGGAGAGCATTGTCCGAGTCGGGGTTGAAGACGTGGGGCCTGATGGTGCTCCTCGTGTCCAGCGTAAGCCCGTGCAGGCTTCCTTGGAAGTCGACGAAGAAGCCAACACCGGCAAGATTGCGCTGCGAGACGCGCTGAATCCACGTAAACCAACTGTCTGAGAAGATCGATCAGAGGGAGTTGCACATCACAAGACCATCACAAGATTTTCTACCTTCCCCCCAACTCCACACACGACATGCTACCCGAACTTGCAAACATCGGAACCAGAAGACCCACCTGTACCAATCGCGTCCCTTCTTCCAAGTGCCGCCACCTTCTTGCCTTGGGAACCGTTCCAAAAGCCCTTCAATCATGTCAAGCGTCAGCAGGCTCTGGCTAAAAACCAAAGCTTTGTCTTTGCGCCTCTCACATGCCCGTAGAAGATTAACCAAGAGAACCATCTTCCCTCCATGCGATATACACCCTCTGTCTCTTGCATCGTAGGAATCTTGCCACCAGTCCATGTCATCCACCTGCCAACACCAAGAGATGGACAGGCAAAATGAATGGAAATCCAACACCCGACCGACAATCTCATGACAACCCCAGACCAAAGGTAAGCCAATCATCATGTGCACATGGCCACCGGGGATGTAAACAGGGTCATCAGTCAAACGCAGACCCTGGATGCACAGTGTTTGCCAAGAAAGATACCAATGAACTGGTCCTACAACAGGGTCATCAGTCAAAGAAGACCTCGGATGCAAAATGCTCGCCGAGAAAGGTACCAATGAACAGGTCCTTCTCCTAGGCTCTTATCATTTCTGAGACATAGGGGAACATGAAAGCCTAGTGTTGCCCGCTTGGCACTATCATGCCTCTATGTTGCACTCTCATTCGTCCTTTCTGCGCTCCCCATTTCGGTTGTCATAATAAACGTCGCTTCTAACAATCACAAGAGCACTGTTTGTGTCCCCTCAAGGACGGAAGCCTGTGCAGCTTACCTGGCTCACCAGTCAGGCTTCCCGTGCTGCCGAATAGCATCTCGCCAATTAGGGACAATCAAGTGGCATTAGAAGTGACTATACAATAGATAGTGCCGAGTATCAACAGACAGGACGAATTCGAATTCGAAGACAAGACCTGAGTTTGACTCCCGACGAAATCTGATTAAGCAAATAGCGCCACACCAATAAGGGATAATCAAGTGGCATTACAACAGATAGCCCCGAGTATATCAACAACGGAAAGGAGGAATTCGAATTCGAAGACAGATCTGCGTTCATAGACGGATCTGAGTTTGAATCCTGATGGAATCCAATAAGTAAAACAACTCTGAAAATTTTACCTGGAGCTGTGGCCAGCATCAACAGAAAGGAGGACATCAAATTGATAGTGCTGACTGTCAACAGAAAAGACGAATTCGAATTCAAATTCGGAGGAGAATTGGGATTGGTGGGAGGCACCTACCGTCTTCACCCGAATATATTGCTGTATTTGGCACAACTTTCAGCGATAATGACCGGGCGTTCTATTCGGATGAAGACCGTAGTCCATGTGGGGGAATTTCTACACCCCTTCAACTGTTCAAAGACGGACCTGAGTTCGAATCCTGATGGAATCCGATAAGCAAAATAACTCTGAATTACATGGGCCTGGCCAGTCCAGTCCGTATCTCAAGGTTCTTGCCCCCTTCTCTAAAAGGGGGAAAAAAATGAAATGGTGGGGGAGGCCACGAGAGCTAAGGAAATCCTACCTCTGCTGGTTCCGCTGCATTGTCGCCTGGCTTTGCAGATCCGTTCTTGTTTCCATCTGAACAAAAGAAAACCGGAAAAAAGAACGGAACATAAAAGACACAATGATAGGTCCTAGGGTCAGCCGAGACTGATACAATGGGACAGGAGAACTATGATTGAGGATAATTGGGATACGGCTGGCCTCATTTGCTGCATACACCCACAGGGCTAAAGAATCAAGGGAAGCAGACTTCGAGTGCCGAAAGGTAAAGATCTTTATCAGGCTTTTAGAGCCGAGGACAGAACAAATACATACGAAATGAAGGAATGTGCACAGAACACTGCCACTTCCCTCTTCACCCCTTTTACCAGTCAGTGTCCTATCTTATTCAAACTCACAGCTAAAGATAGCCTCCAGACTTTTTCCCTTGATTGAGTGACCCATTGGATGGTTGTTAAATCCATTGATTGCTCGATTGATTGCCTGTTTGCTTGATTAATTGATTGATAGATAGATAGATTGGTTGATTGATTGATTGACTGATTGATTGATTGATTGATTGATTGGTTGCTTGATTATTTGATTGATTGATTGTGTGATTGATTGTTTGCTTGATTGATTGATTTTGAGTGACTAGTTGACTGATTGATTGACTGATTGATTGATCAAATCAATTGATTGCTCTACTCAACTGAATTGCTCCAATTCTGATGGGCATCCCAAGAACTGAAACACACAATCTTTTTAATTCGGACAGGAACATCCTGCAGAGCCCCTTAGGGCCAAACAGACAAGAATACGTCTCAAGGCCATCGCACTTAAAAAAAAAAAAAAAAAAAAACATAGTTATCTGCAAACCCCAAGCTAAAGCTTACTGCAGCATGGAAATCAAGATCAAGGGTCGCATACCACTATTCCATTAGGAACTAGATAGTCAGACAAAGTGGGAATTTAAACCACCAGTACATGCCAGCCATCGACCGCGGGCCCCTTTCGGAGGCCCCCTGCCGTTGCTTATTTTATCGACGGCGCGCGAGCCTCAGAAGTTTTAGGAGAGGCTCAATCGGACTCTCTCAGCTTGGCTGGAGCCATGTACTGGTGCTTTTAAGGTTTAGGTTATGGAAAGCCTTCAGCCTGAGAACTGGAGATTGGAGCACACGAGATCGGCAATCTGAGTGGAAGAAAAGTGTTTTTCATGAATCATGATCGAGAACGGACGTCCTTTTCTTAAAAAGCACACAACCACCTTCGAGCCTCCTTTCACCAAGGAGAAAAAGAACTGTGGGCTAAGCCTTGCCTAAGTGCCAGTGCGGCGTTTTTTCCTTTTTGCTTTTGCTTTTGGCAGGCGCCACCAGCCATGTTGGTCCAGTAGCCCCAAGCCTCCCGCAGAACCCGGAGTGTTACATTTTCCATTCTCGACATTGTCTGTGAAGAGGCAAATAGTAGGTGGTTTCAGGCCTACCGTCTTCCCCCGAGCATAACGCACCCTCGTTATGAACGTACATAAGCAAGCTTTTCGGTCATGTGCAGTGAATTGATAGAGCTAGTTCCTCTTCTTCTGCTGATTGCAGACTGCGCTAAAGCATCAGGGAGAAAGAAGAGTACCTTTGCGCTTTTTCCTCTTACGCCTCCGCCGCGATGCCTCGTCTGAATCGCCACCATCTGAGTCCTCTTCTGACTCCATTTCTAAGAAGTCTGCCAAACTGTCGTCACTGCGTTGAGCCTCCTTTTGCTCTTTAGACATAAGCAAGACGTCTGGATGGTTCCAAATCTGGTCAGCGAATACGAGATCGTACGGACATGACAGATAGATCAGCAAAGTGAGCAAAACTTTCCTAGAAATTGAGGCCAATGGCACGAGTCCGAAAACACAGATTGCGGTCATCGAAGACACTTCAGTATAAGCTTAGTAAAACCCCACAAGAAATTTGGGATTTTTTTTTTTTTTTTTTTTTTCAGGAAGTTGAGAGCAATCTGATGAACCTACAGACACAATGGTCGCACAGAGACAATAGTCAGACACAAGCTAGGGCTGTGTGTACGTTTGCTGGAGCGGCACAAAATAGAAAGGAGCAACCAAAAAGATGCCATTGCACTGCATCTTGAAAACATCCTTGCTGAGACCTCAAGAAACGAAGCCATGGAGACTTACCGTCTTCCCCTGAACACAACATAATCTCATCATGAATGTATACAATCCATCGTTCCAGTTCAATGCAGAACGCTTTACCAGGTCACAAGACTCGCAAACGAAGTTCTATTTTATGCTTCACAGTAATCGATTCATAGATATCAGCGCCTTTACCCTTCTTCTGTCCAATCAAACTTTGTTCTACATTGAAAAAGGGAAGAAAACGGAGAAGAAAACCGAGAAGAGAAAAGGAGAAGAGAAGAAAAGGGAGAAGAAAAGGAAGAAGAAAAAGGAGAAGAAAAAGGAGAAGAAAAGGGCGAAGAAAAGGGAGTGCCTTACGGACCTTTGCCAGCGAATGGTAACAGTTGAATAACGACGCTTTCAGTGTGCTGCCCTCAACCAGAGGCTCACCCTGTTTACCCACATTTCCAAGGCCATGCCTTTCTTGGTACCTCCTGTACAGCAGGCGTTGAATAGGTGATAACCGCACCGCAATGACAAAGACGCATTTCGGCGGAAGCTCGTCCTTGAGCACATTCGTGTCCTTCCGTTGTACGAAGCCTTTTAGCTGCATATGAAGCACATGTGCCCTCTGCTTCATGAACCGAACATCCTTTGGAGTGGAATCTGCGAGCTGCCCGTTTGTGATTGGGTTTTGGAACCTGCATCATTGGACCAATTGGTGTAAACATTTCATTCATCACAGTTGAGTGTATGTTGACTACCACGGTACCACCTTTTTTTTTTTTCTACTCTGTGCTGGTCGCTGAGCGGCCCGGCTGGGGGAAAGGTTGCCCGGGTACCCTCCCGGGCGGTCCCAGTGCATAATATTGAAAAAAAAAATAAAAAAAATCTGTAAAAATTTACTGAAAAAAAACTGTTGTGTAATATTGCAATACAAACAACTTTTGGCTGAGGGCCACCTCGAAATTCCTTGTTAATTTTAAGATAAAAATAAATGACAAAACATGACTCAAAATGTACCGTTTTAAACCCCATTAATCACTGTTTATACCCCCAACCCCCCCCCAGATGACCCATCACCAAAACCGAAGTTAAGACCGGATTCTGACTGCTTAGGCCAATCTCAGTCCTGGCCAGAAGTCTTTTTTTTTTGGGGGGTGGGGGTGGGGGATCCTTGCCTCTTTTTCGACCCATCTGGTTTGCTGGGCGACCCCCCCTCTGCCCAACTGGCCCGGGCATGCCAGGCTGGGCGACGGCCCAGCATAGTTTTTTAACTTTTTAGTATTTACTATATATATACCTTAACACTTGAAAAGTGATCTTAACCGGACTCTGTATGCCAAACACAGGGAGAAGTGAACACATGCTTCTTTCTTGCATGTTCCAGCTATCGATCCAAAGCAGCAGTGCGATTAAGATCACCGCCTCAAAGGGTTTGCTGCTTATACGCTTTCCGGCAAGTTTTTTCTGTTCTTCCATACGTTCATAGCTACCGGGCAATGCCACTGGTCTGACCTGTCCACTCTGTATGTTAACCTGGATGCCAGTCGTACTTCGGGCTCGTGGGGCGCATCTGGCTTACCTGTTTCGAAAATCCTTTGGCTTGCCCAAGAATCCTTCACGCACGAAGTCCACCATCTGACAACCAGAGAAACAAAATTTGTCAAGTCCCAAGAATAAGATGGCACAGAGCATGGATTCGCACAAGTTGCGGAAAAACAGCCAAATGGAAATAATATTTCCAAACATCTATAAACTAGTATAAAGTTATATAAACATGCCAAGCGTGAAGGGAGAGAGAGGGGAGGGGCAACGACTTACACAGTAGTACTCCATCAAATTGTTCTGAAGAGGAGAGCCAGTGAGCGCAATCCGCCGCCGACTCCTAACTAGTTTCAATGCCTGTGTTATGTCAGCTTTCTCATTCTTGATCATGTGCGCTTCATCGCAGATCAACATGTCAGGTCCAGGGTCCTGTGGAGCAAAGTCGCATTACGTACAAAATCAACAGGCTGACGGTCAGTACAGCTAGTTCATTGTCAGAAAACCACTTTTCCTCTTTCGTCTTTTCTTTAATGTCCATGTTCTGTCTGCTCTCTCACCCTTGATCCTGTGTACTGCATCGCACGTCAACGTGTCAATACCAAAGACCCTGCAAAGAAAAGTCGCATTACATATGTCTGCTCTCTCACCCTTGATTTGATCCTGTGCGCACTACATCACGCTGACAGTTAGTACGGTTAGTTATCTTTTAAAGGCGCAGGATTCGACCCGATTCCAAAAGTGGGAAATTCCTCTAATGCGCCCCAATCGACAGATAGTTGTATCGATTTAACCCGAACCCGGGTGATCCAGCAATCAGCAGGTTGAAGAGAGATCACAAAACCACTTTTCCTCTTTCCTCCTCCTCTTTATAAGACATTGCCGGGCAGCCAAAGTTGGCAAACCCTTTTCTTCGGAACATGAATTGTGCGCTGGTAGACAGCACCACCAGTTATCTAATCCACTCAAACCGTATAAGCAGAGGCCAATGCCTAGCAGAGGATGGATTGATGCATCCACAAAGAATTGCATGCAAGGCAATTGTGACTGACACATCCACAAAGAAATGCATACAACGCCAGGGGTGCTTGTGAGTAGTAGAGAGGATGGATTGATTGCCTGCAACTGCTGCCAGTAGACCCGAGGTAAGGGTCAACAGTGCCCCCCGTAGATAGAGAAGCAGGGGTTACGCTAAGGAAGAAGAACGTTGAGGTAGGAATGGGGAGGGTCCTGTGAGCGCCACCGAAAACAAAAGAAAAAAAAAAGAAAAAAAAGAAGAGAGGATGGATTGATGCATCTGCAAAGAATTGCATAAAAGGAAATTGTGACTGACACATCCACAAAGAAATGCGGACAAGGCGAGGGGTGCTTGTGAGAAGTAGAGAGACTGCAGGTAGAGACTCTGAAGGCCTTCAATAACATGGCCTGCAACGAGGTTCCCAGAGAGGGACACTTGATGATAGTGAGAAGTGGCTACACTGAAGGTAGAGAATGTCGAGGCCTTCGATAAAACGGCCTTCAACAAGAGTTGTATGGCAAGAATGACACTTCATGATGGCATCAGCATGGGATTATATCATTATATGATTATACACACCTGCAGAGACCGAACCATGGAATCGCGTATCTTCTTCCCTTTGACGTTCCTCCCCATCGACAAGTTTCGGAATGCAGCGTACCCGACGAGCATTACTCCACCATTCACATGCCACTTACTAAGTAACACGGCGCGGTGTTTATTATTTCTGAAACAACAAAACACATTACATGTAAATGTTAAAAATGTGTTCCAGTCTCTTGCAGATTATCTCCCTTGCTTGAGAGCTTCCATACCACTGCCCCTACCTATTAATATTGCGTCTATCCGCAGAACTTCAATGTACTAATTTTTTTGAGCTTTAATATCTTGAAATGCACCCACTACTGCTCTGGCTTATACAGAGACAGGAGCAATGCAAAGACACGATTCTTTCTTACACAATCAAATGCATCAGAAGTACTTTACACATACCCGAGAGACCAGGGTCACGTCAATGTGCCTTCCCTTCCAAGTCATATAGACTAAGGGCACTCTTGCAATGGGACACTTCAAACGGAAGGCCAATCATAAATCTGTGTAGCTCAAATAACTGATGAGGTGTATGTTCCAATTTCCTCTCCATCTCAGATACTCTGGGTTGAGCCTAGAGCTAGCAGAAGCCATCTCTGCCTCCTCCTGCATGTGTGTGTTCCCATACGTGTGTCACCGTCTCCATGAACTCTCTCTCTCTCTCTCTCTCTCTCTCTCTCTCTCTCTCTCTCTCTCTCTCTCTCTCTCTGTGCGTAGCTCAACTAACTGATGAGGTGTATGTTCCAATTTCCTGGGTTGAGCCTCGAGCCAGCAGAAGCTCTCTCTGCCTCCTGCATGTGTGTGTTGCCATACGTGTCTCACCGTGTGCGTGAACTCTCTATCTCCCCCCCCCCCCCCACACACACACACACAGACACACACGCGCGCGCGCGCGCACACACATACGCACCCACCCCTGCCTACAACACACCCCCCCCCCCCAACTCTCCCCAAACATAGCTTGCGGATGCGACACCCACATTTGGGTGCTGCAGCAGGGTTGCACACCTGCCGACCGCCTACAATTTTGCAGCCTACCGGTAGGGCAGACCGGTCGGCGGTCTGCTGACCAGTCAGTAAACAGCAATCCACTGATTTTTTTTTTTAATCCGACAACAGGGCTGTACTGCGCTTGCCGAGTACAACCCAAATCCACTGAGAAATTTTTGGGGAATTTTTTTGGGGGGGGCGGGTGTATAGGGGGGGTATAGGGGGCGTATGGGGGGGTATAGGGGATATTGGGGGGTCGGGGGGTGTGAGGGTGTTGGTATGGGGGTGTCAGTTCAGTTATTGTGGGTTATGGACTCTTTTTTCTTTTCTTTTTTTTTTTGCGGGGTGCCGACAATGGCTGGTTGGCAGCCAACCAATTACGGGATGCCGACCATCGGTCTGTGCAACTCTGCGCTACAGCTTCAAAAAACCTTCTCCAAAAATATTCAAATACAACTCCCGCGGTAGTTTCTTTTTTCCAACTCAAATTTGGCTTCAAATCTCAAGGTGGCCCTCCGTACAAAGTTGTTTGTATTATGGTATTCAGATATAACTCCCCTGGCAGTTCTTTTTCCTCCACTCAAATTCGGCTTCAAATCTCAACGTGATCCTCAGGAAAAACTTGTTTGCCTTGCGATGCTGCATTTACGTATTATATTGCTTTCAGAACTTCTGTTTATTACAAAACTTTGGTCCTCCTCAAACATATTACAGCTCTGCGGGGGCTCTTTACAAATCAAACTCCCACGGGACTCTTATTTTGATACCTCTACTGAGGAACTTGAGAACATCAGAAGACAGAATTGTTAATGATATGCTTACGTGGCAGCGCTTACCTTCCTGCATCTTCTAGCATGCTGACATCAACACGTTTCTGGCAATCGGACTGCCATTTATTGAATTCCGCAAACCAGTTATGCAAGACGTTGACGGGGACAACAATCAGCACAGTCTTCAGCTGTAGATCTTCATTGGTGAGCAGAGTGTGCACAAGAGCTATCACCTGTACAAAATCACCCGAACAGCACCCAACAGTCAGGATCCCTCCGCAGCAGCGTAGTCAAGTCGGATCGCTAGAATACTTTATAAAATTAATATAAATGGGTGCTGATGGGCAGGATCCCTTCCGGCAGCAGCATAGTCAGATCGGATTGCTAGAACACTTGATAGATGGGTGCTGGTGAGTGAGATTCTGTGCAGGCGGGATGCCACACTGCCGGCAGGATAGATGGGTGGTCCTGGAATCATGAAATGATGAAATCCTTTATAACAATGTGGAATAGATAAGTGGAAACAGCCATTGGTTGGCTAATACACTAAGGGCCATGCCAGACTGGGAATACATAACTAGTTCATTGTCAAGAAAACATGAACCTGGCAGGCCAAACTGGTCACATTCATGGTAATCACTGGCACGAACGAAGCACCAGTCCCTTACTGTTCCAGATTCATAGCAGTCCTCACAGAGCGATATGCAGCCATTGGGTAGCTGACAGTGTGGACCAAGCAACACCGGCTGAATGACCATACTCAGAAAGCACGGGCCTGACAGAGAAACCGCTCAGGGTCATTGTAAACTCGCATGAAGCGCCAGAGGGGTCTGTTCCTAGGATACTGCCACTAACCCACTGTAATAAGAACCAAGGGATCGACAGCAGTGCAATGCATCCCAGCAACATAACATAAAACATCACGCCGCTATTATAGGCACTGGAAATCAGTGCCGCCCTCGCTAAGTTATTAATGACCACATTTACCAGAGACGACCTTCTCTCTAGTTTTCACTAGAGGTTTTTCAACCTTTATCTCACCTTGTAGGCCGAACCGACGGCGCGAAGCATGCTACGTCTATGCTTTCCATCTTCATTCGCTAGATTCAATCAATAGGACTACCGTCTTCCCCCGAACATAACGCACCCTAAAAATGAATGTATACAAGCTATATTTCCGGCCAGATACAGCCAAAATAAGGGTGCCTTGTGTTCGGGGGAAGACGGTAGGAGCCAGTCGAGCCACTCGCCCACCTTAGGACTTAGATCCTCGATTGAAATTAAATTGTGTGAGTACTGCCGTATTAGCATGAAATCAATTCAAATTTCAAAGTCGTTTCAATTCGTAACACTCCAACTGCCATCTATGCTAAGCTATTACAGTTCAAATACCCCTATGGAACCCAAGGGGTGTTTAAACTGTAACAACTTGAGACCCCTATGTATTACAGTTAGTACCAGACGCCACCGCCAAGTAGGTATGTCTTCGTTAAAGACCCTTCAAAACAAGGATAGCTTGAGAGGATGACTTCACGATTTAGCGTCTTAGACATATTCGCTACTTCCCCAATCAAGAGCCCAACATAAGAAGAGATACAGGGAGCACTCTCCAAGAACAACATTCCCAGGGCCATGTGCTGAATCAAACTAGTTCCACTCTCCCACGCCCTCCCCAGTCCCACACTGTGAGATGAAGAAAAAAGAATAAGCCACAGACCATTGGAGGAAAGACCAAGCAACTACCAAGCCCTTCGAGCGTCTGACCACCGATAGTCGGAAAAAGGCGAGTACCTGAAGGGTCTTCCCAAGGCCCATGCTATGAGCTAAAATACATCCCAAACCGGGATTGCCGTTGCGGACAGCCTCAACTGATTCGATACAGTTGTCCCACATAAACCTCACACCCTCAACCTGCACCAGAAACACACAAAAACACCATGTTATACAGAAAGTAGCAGAAGAACAAACGTGCAAACAAACGTGCAAACAAACGTGCAAAGATCAGAAGGACGGCCATAGTCATATGACTATACCCCATAAAATAGTGACTCCTGTAAGGCTTAACTACCTTCTTCACCCGAAAACAACGTACAGTCATTTGGGGTATCTTTCAGTCTAGATACAGCAATAATCGCAATGCGTTGTATTCGGGTGAACAACGTAATCACGTAGGAACTTACCAGGAAGTCAATTCAGTCCAGCGAAAACCAGATAGGCGTAAGCGTCCACGATGGAACAATGACCCCCATGCAAAGCTGTTTCAGCCAAACAGCCAAAGAAGGGAAATGGTACAAAAGAAGATCCGCAAGAGATACCGGTAGTGAAAAAGAAAAGAAAGAAAGGGAAAGAGAATGTGGTATGTAGGCACTAGATCCTAGCTGTGGACTCTAGTCTTAGATCCGGGTTCCCTTGATGTGCGACGAATAGGCTCTTGTACCCCTTGCTTGTCTGGGGTAGTAGCTGCTCTTCCTGAATAAAGGTGATCCATTATCTGCCCTGTAGGGCTTGTGGGCAGGACATAGATATGAGTAGCTAGTGTGAGGTAAATACTAAAAAGAGAGAAGAAAATAAAATAGGGAAAATTTTTCAAAAAAAATAAAACTGTCCCCCATATGAGGAGAAGACAGCTGTATTTTTTCTTTTTCCTTTTTCCAAAAAAACAAAAGGCAAAAAAAAGAAGAAAGCATCGGTAACAGTAAATGCTGCACCCATCGATATAATTCTTCCTCCTCCTTTTTCTTCTTCTTGTGATTGCTTGCCTTTGTGGTGTAATTCACCTCCTCCTCCTCCTCCTCCACCACCACCACCTTTCCATCCCCGCCTCCCAGATACGCAACAATCTGCCAATGATGTCGCAGAGATGTTCCTAACAACATATTAGCAGCCAAGGCTCTACTGGAGACGAGGACCGCCACTCTCTCTAACACACTGACCCCCCCCTTCCGTACTGACAATTCACAAGCTTCGCAACCGTCACTCGACCTCTCCGCACATCAATACCTCTGAAAGTATGCTGAGTGACCACCATCATCATGCACAGTTCCACATACCATGAGAAAGAAAGGGAACACATGGTAGCTCGGTACAGAGAACAGCGGTCAAGACACCAGGGGATGAGAGATGTGGTTGCTCCACACCAGCCAAGACTGTTGACGTGGAGCTGATGTGACAAGTGCAGAGGGGGGCTGAAGAGGTTGGTACAGAGGACAGCGGTCAAGACACCAGGGATGAGAGATGCGGTTGCTCGACACCATCCAAGACTGTTGAGGTGGAGCGGAAGTGACAGGTGTAGAGGGGGGCTGAAGAGGTCGGTACAGAGGGCAGCGGTCAAGACACCAGGGGATGAGAGATGAGGTTGCTCGGCACCGGCCAAGACCGTTGAGGTGGAGCTGAAGTGACAAGTGCAGAGGGGGCCTGAAGAGGGTTAGTTAACAAGTGGTTGTAAAGATGTGATTTTCCGCAAGCGTTATCGTGTCCCCTGCGACCCCACTATGCAATCCTCCACTTGTGTGCGAATTCTGTGCTTTGCAAGCATGACACCTGAAACTTGTGCACTTGTATATCATACAACAATTTTCCGTCCTAGACCATAAGTTGGACCAGGAGACCGTCAACCACCCGCTGTGCACAATGGTCAGCAATCGCCCTGACCAAAGTGGGAGACTGCACACCATGCAACAAACAACAAGCATTCCATACATGAAAACATTTCCTGCTTTTTTTAGGAGGGTTGCTCCTTATCGATTATTATATCCATCACGATTCAAACTCATACCCTGTCAATCAAAAGTTACATGCATGTACCATTCACGCACTTTGGAAGGGAAAACAGAAGCAAAGGTAAACAGCTGAGTTGATAGTGGAATGGTTGTGCAGCACAATGACGCGCGCCCACCTGGTGTGGCCGGAGATGTCGTGAAATCTCTCCATCAATTCGGATCTCCTTCTCGTCATTCCCTCGTGCGGTATTTACAATGAAACCCTTTTCTTTGACCTTCTCTGCCACCTTCACATCTTCACCACTGGGAACAGCTTGCTCGTTTTCTTCCCCACTCGCACCAGAACCACGTAGTCTTTCCAACCGCTCTTGCCGTTCCTAAGTAACCATGAAATGCAACAAACATCGCCCTCAGGCAGTGAGTGAACCACACAACCGAGCACATCCTAGCTTCGCAAGATACCAAAAGCGCAAACACATGTTCTATCCCATTAAACCACCAGTACCCACTCCAGCTATTTCAGGGCCCACACCAGTTCACACAGGCCGCCGCTGTCATGTCGCAAACCACTCATCGAAGTGGTTTCTTGTTACCAAGTCCTTTCCAGTCCATCATGTACTTGGTATGTGTGTGATCTCGCCTCCAGCCACTTGAATCACTGAACTGGATATCGCCAATGGGTTTCACAATCAATTCTAGAATGACTCCTCTTTCCCTCCCACCCACACTGACATGTAATTTAAATCGATTTCACAATTCAAAAGACGTTCGGATATCAATTCAACAGCTCCAAATCACTCTCCTTCTCTGCCTTTCTCCCCGTTCCCTTCCTCACAAAACAACCAGAACCCAAACAGAAACGGACAGGCAATCAGACATTGGACAAAACTCCATGACGGCGAACCTCCTTAGCAGCTGAATGGCTTATATAACTTTGATTCAATTGCTCTTGTGTTCAATTACCTTTTCCAGTCTGCGAGCTTTTTGTGCCTGCGCATCAAGTTCGTCATCGCCTTTGACCTTGCGGATGTTCCGTCGCAATTTTCCTCTCCTGGATCAGCACCCACAAATACATTGCCACTCAGAGACTCACAGATTGATCAAAATCATTACACAAAAATAGGAGTTCCCAGTGGCCGTTGGGAATTCCACGTGATTTATTTAGACCTGAGAAATTTATGACGTATTACATAACTAGATTTTGCTGCATTCCCGATGAATTACTGGCTGCAGAAGTCTTGTCTTCAGCAGCTGATAATACCGTCCTCAGCCGAAAAGAGCATACAGTCATCATCCCTGTATCCAAAACTGAAAGCTGCCCCAAATACAGCCAGAAAGACCGTGTGTTCCATTCGGGGGAAGACGGTAGTCCTTACAACCCACAGCTGACGCGTCAAGGATGAAGAGGGATGTTCATGGAATCAAACACTACCGTAGTTGTGCGCGTCCACTGTGCTGGAAGAAAGGAGTTTCGACAAGCCTTGCTGCCGAGAGGTTTTGAATGGGAGAGTTCCAGTAAATGGTACACAGACAATGCACCAAGGGACCACAGAGACACGTGTGAGGATTGAGCCCTCAAGAAGGGGCCTTGCCATGACGTACATGTTCTGGGCTAAGGCCCCAGCAAGCCTAATGCCCGCCCTAAGTGAAGGCGGGCCAGCAAATCAACAAGAGCCCTCTGTGCAAACATTTCCCGAAGTGGGGTCCATACAATTGCAGCACACCAGTTGGTTGGAGTGCACCGAGTCACGAATCTCTACAAATGTGGACATCCCAGGGCCTCTGAGTGAGGCCCTGGGCACTCGAATGTGAGGCCGACAATGCATGCTGGGTATAGAGGCCGAAAATGCCAAAGGGAAGTCGGCCCACTATCTGAATCTGGCCGCAGGCCTTGATGAAAGAGGCGCAACTGCATTGCCCCGGGCCTCAACTGTATCGGGCTGGGTTCAGCCACTGGGCCCCAGTCGCAGGCTGAAGGGAGGCGGCCCACACGCAGCACTGGCATATAGGCAAGCAGGGCGAGTGGGCAGGGACTCTTGGCCAATGCAGGCATTGCGGGCACGCTGCGCGAATGTGAGATGCTGCGCCGTGCAGAGCTGCGCTGCGCTGGGATGAGGCAGGCTAGCGCTAGGCGGTAGGGCGCTGCCTGTGCACTGGGCGCTTGGCGGCCATAGCCGGGATGCATAAGGGCGCAGGGGAGGTGAGGGTGAAGGTGGTTCTTCGGAGGTGAAGGGCACTGTGTGGGTAACAAGGGAGAGTGTGGGTGAAGAGGACACATACCTGGTGGAGGTGGAGGTCGGCATTGGTGTTGACATCATCACTCGCTGGTAGTCAAGTTGTCTGGTTACTTTCATTGCTGTAGTTGTAGGCTTAGTCTGTAGAGTAGGTAGGGCGCCTGGCGCAATTCATAAGAGAGAGCTACATTGGGTTATGCTGTTGGTGTTGCCCTGTTGGGCATGGACACTGACTCACGATTCTTCTGTATCATTCTCAAATGGATGGTTACTCGGTTCCATTGTGCTATCTGCTCTGGCTTTGACTACTTGGACTTCAGTGTGATTTTGCATTCTGGATTTCTGTGCTTCGTCCATATTCATGTTCCTTGCACACGCACCCAACTGCACTTGACGGGAAATGATTGTATTCCCACAGTAGCACCAAGCGCTACTGGGTTCAAAACGAAGCCACAATTGAACACTGTCGAGCGCAAGAGGATGATCGCAGACTCGTGTTCACCTACAGAGCTATGCGTTACAAGCACACACAGGTTTGCATGGAACAACATGGCAAGTATTCAAAATGCTGTCACCCTGGACAGAGGAGAAAGAGTGCATACACGCATATGCACACGCACACACACACACACATACACATACACACACAAACAGAAGCATACAGCGGGGCACACATGATAAAAGACGAGCGAACTTGCGGACTTGGGTCACCTACGGAGCCATCCTTTGGAGTGAAACCACGATTAAACATCACCTACGGTGCCCAGTGGAAAGGGATATAGCAGACTTATGTTCACCTACAGAGCCATGTGTCACATACATCCATGCTGACATGGAACATGGTAATAAGTACTAATAACTGTAATGTACTGAGATGTCGTCACCCAGAAGAGAGGAGCACACACACACACACACACACACACAGACACACACACAGCCACACATGATAAAAAACAAGAGTGCTTGCAAACTTGAGGTCACCTACACAGCCATGTGTCTCTCTCTTGCAGGCACACAAGCAGAACCAAGATAGAAAGACTAGAAAGAATAGAAAGAATAGAAATACTTTCCGCTGCTGGGCATGGGCAGCAGAGTTCAGTTTCGTCAATTGACAACCATCATCTCCATGCTCCATAGTCCACACGTTCAAGTGTTTCTGTACTGTGATCTCGTTTCCGTGATATCAATAATCTGCACAACTAAACATCTCCATCGACTCGATCATATTGCCGACCATCATTTTCGATGAAGTCTGAACAATTTGTGAGATGGATGCCGTGGCCAGGAATCTGCTGCACCACACCCATCCCACACCATTGTGGTCCAGACAATACACCCTTTCTGGACTGTGATTTTGTTTCCCTGACCTAAGTAATTTATACCAGTAGTTTGATGCATACACTATGTACTAGAGAGCAAAATGGTCGCCTGGTTTGTCAGTCTCACCTAGGCCGTCCCTTCGCTTCATCATCTTCATCCTCTTCATCGTCCTCGTCATCATCATCTGAGCAGTCCAATGCATCGCCCGCCCGCAGTTGCCTGGCTTCCTCCTCTGCCTTGAGGCATATGGCCTGGAGATCGCTTATGTGGGATGAATCACAAACATAGCACACAAAGTCTTCCTCGTCCTCGTTCTCCACATTCTCAATCAAGTGACTCAAAAACTCCGCACCAGAGGCGCGCGTTATGCAGTTGTAGCAAAAGGCCCGGTCACAGCGGTCACACAGGAACAGTTGCCCAAATGCCGCACACCAACGACATCGCAAGTCCCCTTTGTCATCCTACACGGTCACCCACACAAAATCATGCACACAATCAGCAACGAGCAACATTACTGCCAACATACTCCAGCTCAGCCTCCTAAATTTCCGGAGAGGCTCAAAACAGGTTCTCCAGTTGCCTGGGGGCATGTCCTGGTCGTCTAAGAGAATCCATAACGCAAAGTAAAAATCTTCAGTACTCTCTGCGCCATCTCCCCCTTTACAAGACAATAGATGTTCTTTTGAGCTTCTCGTTGTAAGGTAACGCTGTTGCAATTTAGCATCTACTTGCGTGGGTGGAAAAGAGGTTCTTCTAGAGTCAATCTAACCCTCTCCCCATCGACCTTTTGTCCTTCTCGCCCAGTTGTCAGGTAAGGCTGTTTCAATTCAGCATCTACTTCTCTGGCTGGAAAAGAGGTGGTTCTGGAGACAATCTAACACACACACACACACACACACACACACACACACATATGCACACACTCAACCACCCACGCATACACACACGTACACACAACACATAGACACATGCACCCACCCACCCACACACAAACCCGCCCACCGACCCACGCACATACGCGTCCACCCACCCACGCACCCACCCACCCACACACCTGCCCACACAAACACCCGCTCACACACCCACCCACCCACACATGCGCACCCACACACACCCACCCACACGCACACCCACACACACCAAGACAAACACACACCCGGACACACACAGAGACACACACACACACTACGAATCCCCATGACCTGCAGTCACCGCAGTTGCGACGTCGGCCGGGGGTTCCCGGTCATTGAAATTAAAAAAACAAAAGTCGTCGAAAAATCTGAAAAAAAAATGTTATGCAGAAAAATAAACTGAACAACTTTTGCCTCATGGTCAACATCTGAACTCCTTACCGAATTTGGAAAAACAAAAAAAGCAAATTCCATTGTTTTTTCTTACCAAAAAAAAAAACTGAACTACTTTTGCCTTAGGAAAATTAGTTTTTTATTTTGCTAAAATTGAAAACAAAGTCAAATTGAAAAAATATATATTGCATCGTAGAGCTCGAACAACATATTCTCTGTTTTTTTTTTTTTAATTGTTCGACCCCCCAAAAAATCACAGAAAAGTTGCAGCAGGAGATTGGCCGGCCACGGCCCGACTTCCAGTCACGGCCGCGACCGCCGGCCACGAAAAGGCCCCCGGTCAAGACCGAGAGTGATTCATAGCAGACACACCCACACACACACACCATGACAAGCAATTTTCCGCATCACTCCAGTTATCATATGTCCTGTGCTCTTCATCAGTACACATTTCTATAACCACGACTTGCCTTCAGCTTCCTCCTCCTCCCCCCTTTCTCTTCCTTCTCAGTTACTTCATTCACTGTCGATTTGAGCTGTCAACAGAGCGTGGACACAGTTGAGACAGGAACATCAATGGTCTTCAGATGTGTAAGCACACCCACATCCACAGAGAGAGACAGAGAGGGGGGGGTGCGGGGGGGGAGCAGGGGGGCAACCAGGGTTAAAGCAGGTGCTGAGAATTTGCAAGCATAGCTGGTCATTGTTTGCCAATCCCAGCACAGGTTACAAGTTCTTCATGTGTGTGTGTGTGTGTGTGTGTGTGTGTGTGTGTGAGAGAGAGAGAGAGAGAGAGAGAGAGAGAGAGGCAAAACCATGGTTGCAGCAGGTGCTCAGCGTTTGCAAGCACAGGTTGCACGTTCTTTCAACTTCTTTGTTCACAGGGGAATTGTTGACCATGGCCAACAGAGCTCGCACTTTACAGAGTTTTGTTGGTTTGGAGCATCGAGGACCAGTACACGCCCTATTGTGAAAGTTTGCCGACTCAGCAACTAGCGTTTTGGACACCAAGCTGGACCTGACCTTGTCCAGGGTGCAAACGGTATTCACCTGCCATGGATGAGAATCTGGCTGCGTGTAAACCGCCATACATCTTGCACATAGACAGATGGACAGCAACGGATGCTTGTACATCTGCCGAACCTTGAGGCTAACTTCACATGTCGCACACTTGAGCGGGGAGTTGCCTTCTCCATCGCCATCAGCTCGCCCTGCGTCCTCGCCATCGCTGCCACCGGAGTCCTTCTTCTTCTTCTTCTTCCTTCTCTGCCTTCTTTTCCTTTCACCATCAACTCCCTCGGCACCCTCACCTTCTCGATGTCCGTCTCCGGCCAGGGAGTCTGCACTATTCACCTCATCCTTGACAGACTTTTTCCTTCCTGTTCTTCGCCTCGATTCCCTATCCTCATCTGCATCAGGTTCCTCATAGCCTCCAATGCCAACATTCGCTGACCGCAGATTGAACCTCCTCTCCTCTGGGCCATAATTGAGGCAAGCCCCATTCTTGTGATCCCTGCTCGCCTGTTCACACTTCCGCACACCATTGACTGCATTCCCGTCACCATCGCCGGATCCCTCTGCATCCCCAGCGCTTCTGTTCCTCTCATTGTCAAGAGCTTCACCATCCTGATATCCAGCACGGAGCTGCACATACGCCTGTCCTTTATTTGGCTCTTCTGTATTCACATCTGAAGGCCGTCCGGTTGCTGTCCCGCCTCCTGGCAGGTTATTCCGTTTATGGCGAGCGCGATCTTGGCCATCCTCATCATCACTGAGCACTATGACATCCATCCCATCGACCACTCTCTTCCGCTTTGCTCGCCTTCCCTCATATTCCTCATTCTCATCTGACCCTCGCTTTGACCCCACATCAACCCCATTGGGCTGTAACCCTTCCCCTTCCCCCTTCTCATTATCACCCCATAGTTGTGTGTTTCTAGATATATAGCTATCCTCCCACCCGTTCCCCTTACGTTGGACGTCTTCCATCTTTGCTTGGTTCATCTGCCATACCCTCTCTTCGGCAGAAGCAAACCTCCGGCCATTCCAATGGTACAAGTCATTATCACCCTGACCCCCCTGCTCATCGGCTCCGTAATCTGTATCGTAGTCGTACTGTACATCCCCATATTCATCATACCACACACAAACATTGTTTGGCCGTGTGTGCTCAACTCCATCACCTTCTCCTCCATTGTCCATGGGACTCTTGACATCTTCAGGCTCAACTGACTGTTGGGCCACCAGACAGTGCACAGCCAACACACAACAAGGACGAGGAAGTCAGTCGCAGAGCGCAGTGACAAAGTCCTGACATCTTCATGTTTGGCATGTTCGTCACGTACAGAGCATAGCACAGCCAACACACTCGACATGGAAGAGAACGTGATTGAATGCAAAATCTCATCGCCTCGTGAACATAGAGATAGTGGCAATCATGCACCGAACACCGAACAAAATGGTCAGGGCGACGCCACAGGGCCTCACCCTCCTTCCCCAACTCAGGAAAAAGTATTCAAGCTTTCGGAAAAGACAAAAACAGAAACATGTCTCGCCTTATTCCCATCCTACCAATGCCAAGCTCAATCTCTATTGGTGCAGCTGCAGACCATATCCCTGGCCAGAGGAAGAAGAAATCCAAGCACCGGCGCAGACAGCACAACAAAAAAGAGCAAAACTCTCTCAAAGGTCAAGGATCCCAAAGCTCCGGCAAGTCTTTTGATACAATGCCCGCCTTACCTGTGCATTAAGCCTTTCGCCATTTGCATCCTGATTCAGTCTAGCCTGCTGTTCCTGAGCACCGGCTGGGCCGTCTAAGGAAACTCTCAGCTTTGCCCGTTTGCCTTCAACATCGAGCGGCTTCCTTTTCCTTGTGCCAGCCCGCTGATGTCTTGACACAAACACCTTATTTCTAAGACGTGCTGATTTCTTCTCATCCTCGTCCTCCCTCCTCTGCATAGAAAACCACATCCAGAGCACAAACAACGATTAACACCAAACAAATGGAAGATCGCTGATTCACCCGCATGGTAAAAAAGACAGATCAACTACACAGAAAGGTTGAAAACAGCTGCAAGATGATTGCAACCTTTTCAAACTATTGCACGCTACGTGGACCACTGAGTGGCTATTTGTACTGTCGTCACCCGAAGAGAACCCCGGGTCATTATAGCTACATTTGGTACAACCTCTAGTCCAGATGCAGCGATAAGTACCAGGCGGGCGTTTTATTAGGGTGAAGATAAGGTTGGCTAACCCATACATTCGATCAGCACAAACGGGAGGTTCGCACCTGCTCAATGCATTAACGGACACAGCATTTATGCGGACGATAACAAACTCTACACGCACACCACCCACTTACCCAACCCGCAATTGATCAATCGACAGCAAGAGCTATTAAGACACACGACACACCAAAGTGAAGACAATGTTGACTACCCCGAAAATCCGGTCATTGCGTTTATTAAACATCACGTCCAGACTGGTGGATGTTTATCTGCTGATTGCGTTTATTAAACATAGCATCCGTTCAAATTGGAACGATACAGAGCAAGGCCCCTGCGCAAGGATGACAGGCATAAACCGAGAAATGGTTCAAACTTCAAATTCATTTATTAAAAAAAAAAAAAAAAACATATCAGCCGAGCTAGCAAGCAGAAACTCTACCACGACACAACACTTACCCCACCCCACAAGAGATCAATCAACAGGAGGCCTGCGCCTGTCCACTGTATCATCTGCGTGCCGCAATCAGCCCGCATGATTTATTCGTGCATCCACCGATGGCCGTTCAGGCAGACAATAGGGGGCAGATTGAGGGTAGCCACAGGTGATCAATGAATGAATAGAGGAGCTTGTTTTTTTTCTACGGTCGACCCTGCAAGGAATTGAACCGGCGATCTCTGGCTCAACAACTGGATGCCTTAATCGCATAGAGAGGAACGGATGCGCCAAAAGAAGAGGATACATGGAAGGGAGAGGAAATACGCTAAATGTGTTCACAGTGGCACTGTTTCAAAAGTAGTACTCATCACAGCCTCCATCCGGAATTGCTGTGAAACCTACCTTCAGGCCCCTTGAATACATGTGTCTTTTGTTTTTATTCCATTCTATTTTTGCCCCTTGGAGGCTTGGATGCATTTCTCAGAAGGGAGGAGGGGGGGGGGGGGGGGGGGGGGGACTCAGAGGGGATGGGATACCACAACAGTTTAAATGACAAAAGATGGAGCCAACACTTTTTTTCACCTTTGATGTTCTTCCTGAGGTCGACACAGGGCAAAAAGCTAAATCCCGTAACAAAAAAAAAGAAGCTAATCCCGTTAAAAAAAAAAAAGATAATCCCTTTAAAGAGAGTCGAAAGTTCTCTAAACATTTATCTCCACATCGTCAAGTCTAATGATGAGTCAGTGATGACCCTAAATTCACAGCAACTCACTCACACTGCAAACCAATCAGATGCACAATTGAAGAGCACACTGAATGCTATCCCCTTAAAAGTTAAAATCCATGCTAAAAAAGGAAGTAGCTTGAGCACAGGTGAGGCCAACCTTCCTCATCCTTCTCTTCTGCTTTGCCGTCAGACCATGCTTCTCTTCCTGAGCAATGGCAGCAGCATAGAAGGCATCACCGTCATCCACTTCATCAATCTCCTCGACCTGCAGACAAAAACAAAGGTTACATAATAATATGATAATATTAAGTTATTATTAACATTCAACAGAGAGAGATGATACGATCGCCAAAAGAAAAAAAAAAAAAAAAAAACTTAGAAAAGGTGATCTGCGAATTTATTTCTGAAACGTCAAGGTAGTCACGATTCGTTTGGAAAAAAAAGGGATTAAAAAAATATATATATTCCAAGAGAGAATGGGAGAAACCAAGTCGTCCAAGAAAGAAGTCGTAACGCACAACTGATACAAACACCCAAAGGTCCCAAACCTCATGAGAAGAAGTAACGCTGATACAGATACCCGAAGCTCATGTTTTCCCAAGAAACTTGTGTTTTCAAAAATCAGACGAGAGGAAATGTGAACATTTCACGTCTTTTCAAAGTCGAAAACAAACCGAATTAGCTGAAAATTTTCCAGAGTCGGACATTTCTGACACCAGAAAAATACTCGACAACATAGAAGCAGTCGTGCCAGTGGATATCCGTCTGAGTCGGTGTATACAATGGCTTTTATGGCTGTGACTGACTAACTGCCATTCTTGCCCAAGAGAAGGTTAACGGAGACCCTAATTTTCAGACCACTTGCCATGCCATTTATATGAAAACCAAAGGGTCATCTTAATCAAGCTTGCCACCAATTCGTAGAGTGGAGACCATACTAACTGCAAAAAAAAATCAAAAAAATAAAAATAAAAAACATATAAAACAGCAAGGCAAAAGTGCATTTTCATGAAATTTCACCAACATCTCAATTTCAGAAATCTTGAGAAATTTCAGAAATCTTAACAGAGGAAATTCCAATTCTCCAAATGACACAAAATTKGGSMMACMCCAACYTKRAAMMAAAAMAARAAMAGGVAAAAAAAAAAAAAAAAAAAAAAAACATAAAATTTTACCCCGAAAGTTTTTGTGGAGCCCGATTTTCACTGCGCATCAAGTTTTGCCAAACTACTGAGTAACACATTAAAACCACCACTACCTCCGATCCTGTTTTGCCGAGCCTGATTTTCACTGCGCACCAAGTTTTGTCGAGCCTGGGTCCCATCGTATTTTCTTTTCTGGTACTCACGGCAGCTACATCCGAAAAAGAACCGAAAAAAAAAGAAAAGATGCAAAAACAGAAACTTCCCTAACGCCGTCGTAGCCATCAGATGACCAGATGCATTCTATGAGGTGGTGAGACTGTCCCTCAGCGAGGGCGTCTGTTCTCATGAAAAACAAATGAAGAACAAGAAAAAAAAGTTGAAAGAACTTCCCTTATGCTGTTATCGCGGTCCGATACAGAACGCCACAGTGCTGATGTGAGTATGTCGTGAGTGAGGCAGTTACCTGCCCCCCGTGGAATCCGCCCTGCCTCACTGGCAGAGCACAAAAAGAAAATGAAAACCAGGAAAACAAAAATCGAAACATAAGCAATCACAATCCACACATACTGGCCCCATACATTCCTCAAGTCATCGGTATCACTTCCACCCATACATGTGGCGCACCACGTGCGTGCAAGTTCCGCACGTGCACTGCATAGCGCATGCGCACACATGCACGCGGACGTGATGCGGCGCAATTAGGAATGGCAAGGAATATGAGCGAGAGCGATAGACAGAAAACCAAGTTGCATAATCACGAAGTAGTCCAAGCAGAGAGCACAATGCTCAAAAGATACCATCCATATAAGAGCAATACAATGAACTCGAGTGCCAATGCCCACGCTCTCTAGTCACACCAACACTGTATCCAATGCCGCCCCTACTGTCTGGCGCCCAGCGCCCAGCCTAAACTACTCAGCCTATCTATCCTATCTACGTTCATGCGACTAGATCACATCGAAGTTGAAGACCAATGTATGTGACGTCATCACCAATGCCGACCACCAGCATACACCAGGTACGTTCTCTCTCCTCCACTCGTCACCCCTTGATCCCTTCTATATGCACCTCCTACCCGAAGACCACCATCGCCATCAGCTGCACCCGCACGCTCGGCCCGGCTATGGCCCCCGTGCGCCCACTTCCACCGCCGTGCCCTCTTGCCTCTTGCGCCCGCATGCACCCTGGCCTGGCCGCAAAGCGCAGCTTCACATAGCGTAGCAGCAGCGTGGCCACATTACCTGCTCAAGCCAGAATGCCTCTGCCTGGGCAGGGCACTTCCCTTTATGGAAAGTGCGGCCTTTTGGTAGGCTGCATGGGCCTGGCTGGACGAGTTTCCAGTAGCTTCCAGTCGGGGCCCAGTCTCTGCGCCCAGGCCCTCCTTTACTGATACGGACCTGGGCCCTCTACAGTTGGGCAATCCCAGGTGGCCCTCCAGGCTCCAAGTGTTTGCCGCACTCTCATTGGCTCGCGGTGCCTGTGTGTTGACAACGCTGCTTTCTCATTGGCCCGTGGCCGATGCATGAAGTGTCGGCCTCACACTGCGTGTGCCCAGGGCGCAACCACCCGAGCCCTGGGCTCAACTGCACATCGCAGCTGCTTCTTCTGGAAGGAGCCAGGAGAGGCTCACGTTGCTCTGTAACCAACTGGCGTGCTGCAACTGTCTGAATACCCGACAAAAGGAAAAGTGTCCAGAGTAGGCCTCTTGTGAATATTTAGGCCCGCCATCACTTACGGCGGGCACAAGGCTTGATGGGGACCGCAGCCCAGAACACTTGCATGTCTGATAAGGGCCCCCAAAGGGCTCATTCCTTACAGAATAATAAAAAAAAGGGGCAGGCTGTGGTAACCAAATGTGTGCCTCCCTTTTGAAAATTGTAAGTGCACAGACAAAAAATAATTTGGCGCCACATCGTACTCCTCATTGGATCTAGTCTCCTTTCCAAAGGGTCCCCTGCAAAGAATTAGCAGGGATCCCACGCATTTGGAAGGACGTTCATCGAACTGCTGAAGGATCACGAGCAGGCCAGCAATATAATCTGGATTCGGATTCAGGTCTGTGTTCCAAGAGTTAGGGGCAGATCCCACTTCTTTCCGGTTTCGTAAGAACGTAAAAGTGCCGTGAAAGGTGGAGGCGCAGCGCACGGAATGTGAAAGAAAAACTCGACCCCACATGCCCTACTTATGCAGGACTTTTCCTAACGGAGCGGCATTACCTTGTGGCGCCTCGGAGGATCCAACGGCCTGCACATCAGGGGAAAAAAAAAAGGAAGAAAAGAACAAGGGCTCCTTCTTTCACGGTGGAGGGTATGGGGGTGGCTTCTTTCGATTTTTGAAAGAACTACCGGTCCTCAAACCGTGCTTGCACTGCCACGTACTAGGCTGTTTCCACTTCTTCGGAAAAACAGGGCCACCTCCAGCTCTCGTGGAAAGAGGTGGGATTAAAAGGGCCTTTACCCGATTCAGACCCTGAATGATGAATGCAGCATAGTGGGGTCACTCGGCCAGAACCCAACTCGTGAAAAGCAGATCAAAAGGCATGTTCTCTGGGTCAAAAGTCACATCCTAACTAAAGCAGAAGTCAGGTCAATGGTCACGGTTGTACCCCTGGACGAACAGTTGCAGTATTCAATTGTGGAAGACACATCTGTTCGTCCAGAGGGTGTGCAAGTCATGTCTGTTCAAGCAGGAGATGTGTCTGTTCGTGCAGTGCATGTGTCTGTTCAAGCAGAAGGTGTGTCTGTTCGGACTGAAGTTGTGTCTATTCAGAGGGAAGTCAAAGATCAGGTCCCAGTCCAGTCAAAGTCTAGCATGAGGTCTAGGTTCAGACCCCAAGTCCGAAATTCAGGACCTGAAGGCCGCAGCAGCAACAGACCCTGAAGGAAAAGGGTACTGGGACACACACTGCAGAGGTCTGGGCAAGGGAAGACCCAAGTGTGCCAATGCAGGCCTCGCGAAGGGACGCCAGCAGTATAAGAAAACAAGCCAGCCTCCCCACATGACAGATCTCCAGTGGCATTGATGCGTGGAAGTGCTGAAGGCACTTGTGCGCTAGCATGCTGGGGAAGCGCTGGCAGAAGAAGCTGCGCAAGAGGAGAGAAGGGGCTGGGCGCTGATTTGCAGAAGCAGCCATAGCTGCGCCAGCATGTTAGTAGATGTAGAAGGGTTAGAGGCAGTCTTCAGTGAGTAGCATTCAGAGTAGATTCTCGTAGTAGGAGTGCGCATGTATGGTGGGACGAGAGGACCAAGACAAGGGATCTTGAGAGAGAAGAGACAGAGAGAGAGAGAGAGGAGCAGGTTTCTGAGTTGGCTATGGTGGATACTTACCTGTTCTGCGCTGTATTGTCATCTAGAGGAGGCGCTGGCAGAGCCAGGCCCCTGTGTCGTTGATGAACGAGAGGGAGACTTGTGATACTATTCAGCGCTTTGCTCTTGAACTCGAGATACTCTTTATAATGTTGTTGTGATAATATAAGCTGCGCTACCTTGGTTCTCATCCCAGCTCGACTTTGCTTTGTGTGAATCTTCATAATCTGTGTGAATGATATCTTGGCATGCAATGTGATACACTCTGGCAAGTTGTGGACAGTCAGGTCCCTTGCAGGATCCCAAAATTTACCAAAAAGTGCCTCGCCTAAGAGAAGTGGGATCAGGCCCTTATGGGTTACGAACAAACACTACAGTAGCTGTCTCGTTTTTTTGTTTTTCCTTTTCTTACACCACTAGTACGTCCAAGCCTGTTTTTGCCAACCCTGAATTTCACTGCTACAGTTGCGTGCCCAGATTAAAAAAAAAAAAAAAAAAAAGGAATTTCACTGCGCACCGAAAGCCTGGGTCCCATTGTGTTTTTTTTTAATGCTTATCTTCGGAAATGGGGGAAAAAAAAAGAACAACAAAAATAAAATTAAAAAAATCAACTACGCTAGGGACGTGAAAGCAGCCGGATGCAGATTCAGCAACAAGTCGTTGGACGTGAAAGCAGCTAGATACAGATCTGGAGTACCTGTGACAGCATGCCCTCCCAACGGGCATTGCAGCCCTGCTGGAATCACGACGGCAGAAAAAAAGAAAGAAAAAGAAAACAAAAAAGCAACAACACTATGGATGTGAAAGCAGCTGGATACAGAATCTGGAGTACGAGTGAGAATGCGCCCCCCGTTGCAAAGTGTCAGCTGCCCGTGGAATGCCCCTCGCCTCTCGTTGGCAGGGCACTGAATGCGGATCACCAAAAAAGAAAGCGAAACACATACAAAAAACGAAACTGGCTATGTTTCTGGGTGGATGTGTTCCTTTGAGTTCTGATGTGAGCACATCTCCTTCATGGCCTTCCCCGACGTCCTTCCTTTCTTTCTTTTCTACTCTTTTTTTTTTTTTTTTTCGGTAATGGGAAATACAACTGATGCCGAGCCTCTGGTACCTCCGAATTCTTCGGTGAAAATGGGAAAACGTCCACTTTCCCCTAATTTCCCAAGGCTCGGAGGTACTAGTGGTTTACATGCAGTGGCCCTAAGGGCCTCGATCCGCTCATCAGCAGTTGCACAAAAGAAAAACATATGGCTTGTATGGTTCGACTTTCTAGGAGAAGATTCATTCTAGTTTTCCACATTTGGTGAGTAGTGGAGTGAAGCCCTGAAAATCACATGCTTAGTAAGTCAGTAACCCATAACTGCTGAAACACGGACCTGAATTTGAAGCTACACCATATATAGCTGGCCTGCTCCCTCTTTAGTACAAGCCCAGCGACTACCCTTCTCCTGCTGACGAGATCCTTGCTAAGTTGGCAGGGATCTTTTGAAGAGCAGGCAGGGGTTTTCTGAAGAATGTGAAAGTGGCCAAAGGGCTCTTCTCTCTCTCTCTCTCTCTCTCTCTCTCTCTCTCTCTCTCTCTCTCTACAGCATGTATACACGCATCACGGTTGCTATTCGCACATCTGCGATCAGCGCACCTCACGTATGCACCGCAAGAATGCTTCCACCTCTACAAGGCCCTTATGAAAACAAAAGAAGGGAAAAAAAGAGAAAAATCCCTTATGCTGCGATCACGACCTGATACAGAAGCTACACTGCTGCTGTGAGTATGTCATGAGTGAGGCCGTTACCTGCCCCCCGTGGAAACCGCCCTGCCTCGCTGGCAGGGCACGAAAAAAAAAAGAGAACAAGAGAAACAAAACCAAATACATAAGAATATTAAGAAATCACGTTCCAGACATAGGGGCCAGATACATTCCTCAAGGCACTTCACGAGGACTTCACGAGGACTCCACCACGTCGTCGGATTCGACATTCTTTTTTCTTTTTTCTTCTTTTTCCCTCACCGAGTACCCACGGGACCCCAATAGTTTCATTTTTTCCCTATCCTATCAACCCTGCAGCGGACCCCCGAACTTTTCGGATGAGGGCATTTTCCCAAATGGAACTACAGCTTGGAAAGGTAGTGGTGGTTTAAGAGCTCAAATCTCAATCCTCGTCACCCCCCCCTCTTGCGAGAAAATGGCTATTGATTTTACCGAAGCGGGAAAAAGAGCAATTGGTTGTCATTGAGCCATATCTGGAACGATGTATGTGGTTCTCTCTCACGTTTTGTTTTGATAGATATAAATGAAATCAGATAGTAGATACTAGATATGGTGTTTTTCTTTTAAAAACAGGGCCCATGCTAATCTTCTCCGTATCTTTTTTTTTTTTTTTTTTGAAATAGCATCGTTTCATTATATCTGCAAACTTCAACGAAGCCATCATGTTATTTCTTTATATACTTAAACAATAGCAACAAGCGGACCTGTCGCAAAGGATGATGACAAAAACATTTTGTGAAACACCCCAGCCACCAGTCGGACCCCATCTTTGACATGTACCCCTAGCCAACGCTGCCCAACTTTGCTAAAATGCCCCGGCAGTTGCCAAGTTTTCGTAGGTGCAATTGCAAAAGGCCAAGCGAATTTGCACACCCACCTGACAGGGCCATAACACAAACATGTCAGTCCACAAGGCCATTCCACTGTGCCCATATCTTTTAGGGACACTTTGACATATATCTCAACATACGGGGGTGTTTGGAAAATTACCCCCCACCCAAAAAAAATGCTCTCTCTCTCTCTCTCTCTCTCTCTCTCGTCCTTCCTTTCACACGGCTTAACAACAACAGATGATGGATCGTCCTTCTCCCGCTCCCCCTCCTGCTGCTTCTCCCGCTCTTCCTCCTCCTCCCGCTGCTTCTCCTGCTCTTCCCCCCATTCCTCCTCCTGCTCCTCCCGCTTCTCCTCCCGCTCCTCCCACTTCTCCTCCTCTCTCTCTCTCTCTC